TAATGAACTCATATAGGTTTATGCCAAATTCTCATTGATATGTTTATCGCAAAAATCGTTCCAAGAATCTTGGAATATTTGGCAAATAAACCCTACCACGATGAGATAATAAGATACCGTGATAAAATAATTAATAAGAAATAAGAAGCTTAAAATGATAATCAATCATTTTCATACCTTCCTAGGCTCTGGCGCATAAATACCAGGAAGTGGTGCAAGCAGATGTAGACCCGCCGGGCTAGGTATTCCGGTAGCTGGATGAGCTGGGGGTATTGGTAGCGGCACGAGCTTTAAGCTCCAAGGTAGGTACCACGGTGCTGTATGGTGCATCCTGTTGCACTAATCGATGCCGCGATAAATTTCTCACTGACGTTAATAGAATTGCGTTAATATTTAGCCTTTGTCTTTATTTATATATTTCAAGAGTTAAAGTTACGTAAGTGTTGAAGTAATTAGTATATTTTTTCCTTTGCTTCACTCTCTCGTATTCACCGATGCCAGCTGCTGATACAAATCAAAATAACACTCACGATTTTTATCAATAAGAGAAATCAAAAATAACTAAATTTAGGATAAAGATGTGGAAAAGGTGATCAAAGGGAACGTCTCAAATTTTTAATAATCACTTGAATATTCGATTTTACGTAATCACAATTTATTTGATATTTATGAAACTTTTAAAATGACTTATTATTAAGGTAGGAGTGAGGGAATGATTGTCTTCAGCAAAATACCTCTTAAAACTTTTTAAGAAATAAATTAAGTATTGTTTGTAAATACACAGTAGAACTTGAATTGGCTTATTATTTTGCTCAGTTTTCAAAACCGTCGCAAATAAAAAATGTTGATCGAATAGAACTGTAAGCAATCACGCGATTCACGCTTTAAACTTCTCGTGCACATCATATTGCAGTTAGAAATGTGTCCCTTGGCTTGAAATAGTAACAATAATAATGGGTTAAAGTTGTAATTTTTGTGAGAATAATGAAGACACTTATTATAAATAAGCGAATAATAAGAAAAGCTGAATAGTTCTAAAAGTGTAACAGCTTTTGAAATAAAATAGTTGTATGTGAACTAACAGATAACTCGACGTGCCTACAACGAGCGCGCCGCGTCAACTGAGCGTCGATCGAGCAACCACGCGCGAGCACATGGCGACCAGACTCCCCCTCTCTTTCTCTCGCACATTCACTCTATTCGGCTCTTTAGCGAGCTTAAAAACTTGCAAGCTTTCTGCACTACCACAGACCTTTTGTTCGGAAATTCACGTTAGCCCATGGAGATTTGCTTTAATAAGTATGCAAGGAAATGTATTTTCATGTGAAGCTTGAGTGCTCCGCATAGTATTGCTATGGAAATGAAATAATGGACGTTAAAACAAAGAAAATAAAGATATTTCAATAAAAGAAAAAAATTTTGAAAAATTTTTATCACTGTTACAATTTCATTATTATTGTAACAAGTGAGTAATAAAAATTAATACTCTTCTAGAAATTTCCGTTTTATGTTCGGGAAATAGAGGTGTTGGAAAGAATTTTATCTTTGTATAATTTTTTATTGCAAGTATTATTATTATCAATTTATTTAATATTTTAAATATTTCTGTTTTAAAATTTTCTCATATTCTTTTTATAATAAATTATGAAATTTATTGAAATCTTTTATTATTATTATGAAGTGAAAAAATTAATATTGTTACTAAAATTAATATTTTATCATAGATATTGAGAAGAATTTTATTTGAATATTTAATCGGCTTTTACGAATCTCTAGTGGCGAATAATATCATTCAAGAATGAAATATCAATGAATTACGAAAGAAAAAATTTACTACAGGTTATTCTTTTAACTTTGTGGTCTACACATACATTTATCTCAACCTCTTTATCAAGATTCAATTTTTCACTTCTACTTTCCATTATTTTATAAGACCGCCATGGAAATTATGGACGGAAATGATACTCAGTCAAGCACACTTGTCTACGAACATAAAAAAACATCGACAAAAAGGATGAAAAAGATTTTTTTTTTTGCAAAAAAAACCCTCAGACACCGTCTAAATTGCTAGAGGATTTACCAGATTTTTTCTTTTATACTTCTCTACTGGTTGTGCGATTGACGATCACTAGAGAATCCGCTTTATCCCACGACTGTGTGGTAACTTCATACCTCGATCGGGCAATCGCGTGACGTGAAAACGAATCGTGATGTTACGGGTTTGGATATAAAGTTCAAAAAGAGAAAGAATAAATGAGATAACCCATTGATACCCACGTGTCTTTTAATACCAAAAAGTCATTACATGGATTACTCCTTTACAGAGAGAAATTTTTTTTTCAACAACATTGGAGTTGGAAAATTGCACTTTTTTCATTCAAATATATTTTTTAACATGTCAACTAAATTGATAAATAGATTCGAAAAAAAAACTTTTAATATTTTGTATTACTTTAAAACAATGTACAAAATAATATTCCGAATAAAGAACTATTATTAATTATATGATAATTCACTAAAAAAGATATATAAAAATTGTCTAGAAAATATTCAAAATGTGTTTGTAGAATTATTCACAATATTTTTTTTTTAAATCAAGTCGCATTGCAACCTATTTTTATTCTATTGTACTCTTGATATCCTGGTTTTCAATAATGCAAAAGTTTTAAAATTCTAGTATAAAATGAAAGGAAAATTCGCGACATAATATATTATTTATTCCCTCTTGAAAGAAGAATTTATTGATCCTAGGAATACTACTATTTCTAACAGTTTTCTATCAGTGCCTGTTCGCGTGTTCATCAAACAATATTGATACATGTTATAACTTCACATTATTGCAGCTTCATTCCACATGTTGCGTTCGCAAATAATTCGTGAATGCAATATGATCATTCTCAATTTTACCAGCATTAATGTAATACATATTCCAAACAATTCAAGTAATGAACGATAATGATGTTCAATCTTTTGTTCGAATCCATTTCAACAGTATCTCTATCAAATAATTTTGATAAAAAATCTATCATGAATAATTAAATGAATATTCTATGTGAAAAATTAATTGTAGAAGCTACAATACAATATCTGCATATAAGTTGAATGGAATAATTTAATAATAAAAATGGTATAATAAAGCTTGTGAACAAAACAAGGTCAAATAAAACAATAAAATCAAACAGTAAGTGAAACGGATGGTCTTTTGGCATCGATAAGCTATTCATCAATGTCCAAATGATCCTCGCCCACTTCTTAACATCTTCCCTAAGTATCTGTCGACTGGTGACAGATTTAAAAAACCCAGAAGACAAAGTGTACTAACCCTGCAATGCGACTTAAGTTGTGGTTCGTCGACTACTTGGCATCCTTTTGCTATCAATTAACAGTCGCTAATCTCGCTCCATTAAACTTTTCCATCTTTTAATGTCTACGCAGGATTACAATTGTTCCCAAAAAGTTAACCAAGAATCTGAGTATGTCATTAGATTAACAAGTTAAATAAAGTCATCGAGACATGACGGCTATTCTCATTTCTACATTCCTACCAGTACTCTATTTTATAAATATTTGCACTACTTTATAATCTCATTTCAACTATCTGATCACTATACAAATGAAAATTTTAGCGAAAATTCAAATTATTTAACATTGTCATCTCATTTTGATCAAGTTTTTCACTTAAACATTCTGTATATAATGAAATTAAAAAATTTCTTTTGCAAAATGATTTTGCAACGTATGAAAGGAATGAATTTTGCATGTTTAGATATAAACTGTCCACTGAATTTGTATTAATTATTTAATTAAAAAAGATTATCTATAATGTAGAGTGGCTTTAATAAATACTATATTAAATAATGAAAAAAAAATCCAATATTCAATAACGACTAATTGATAATAAATATAAAATTGTTAGAAAATGATTAATAGATTAAAAAATCTAGATTTTTTGTCCATAACACTAATACAACAATAAATTATCTATCAGGTTCTTATCGATTGCCTATCTGATTCAAATGATATAAATGTTCTTAGTATTAAGCTCGCATTAAGATGTTGTACATAATACCTAGAATCAATAAATTACTGTGGATTGCTTTATTTAATGAATTGAAGAAAAACAAATGGCTCTGAGAAATTCTATCATGAAATGTTGAAAATAGATACATTATACGTAAATTCAAAACAAGTTAATTATTTAGATAACACAGTATACGTAACTTTATTTTTAATGACTTTTAAGAATGTCATTAAAACGATTATCTCATTATCTCCTAAAACTTGGATTCATTATTCCAATTAAAAAACCTAAACAAATGTTCGTCTTTAAAATGGAAAATTTCTCCCAGAAAATTCGATATTTCACTTGAAAAATAACTTTCTATTTTTAAAGAAAATAAAAAATTTCCAGTAAAGATATATTGAAGAACAAAAAGTTGGTTACTAAAAATAAATGATGTTGGAGACAGTATGTAATATTTCGATTAGTTGACATCTGAGATATTTTTAGCAGATGTCAAAGTGCAAAAGAAGAAAATGGAATTTCACGATACATTCGAAAAACAAAAGTCATAGATTAAAATCAAACTGTCACCTTCTCGTTTATCAAAGACCGCAGCTGTCGTCAGCACATCACTTCCATCTGCACTATTAAAACATACTATACTATTATCTAGTTCAATCGTGAGATGTACAATGTTGTATATGTAATACATTATTACAATGTATTCTGATAATTTGTTTTATTAAAAATAATTAAAACAACAAATGAAGAGTAAAAATTCTCCAATCATTATTATATTATTAAGGGGAAAAAAACAAAACTCAAGGAAAACAAAATAGATATGGATTAACAAAAATAATTGAATAATAGCATGAGTAATTGGTTCAACCATTATTTTGTAAACTATAAGTATTTATTTGGTTAAGGTAATTGCAGAATAATTATTGTTATCAGTAAAAAATAATATAAGGACTCGATCCTTGTCACTAAAGTTTTAGTTTACTAAAAGCTCGGTGTCGATTTTTTATTCGTTTGATTTTTGCTGAAAGATTGAAGCGTATGAATTATTCAACTTATTTTAAAATGCGTTTTATTAATAGAAACGTAATATTATTTTTATTTTTCATCGCAGGATGCATTTATATTGAAGCAGCACCTGGTGAATATTAAATTATTATGTAGTACTGAATTAATTAATTTATGCAACATGTATTTCTTCATTAGAATGAATATAAATTCGGTAGTAACTATGACATCGAATATTTCATAAATTTGTTTAAAACCATTAGGTAGAGCAAAACGTCAACTAGGCCAGCCATCTCTAACGTCAATGACAGAATCAGCTCTGAGTTCTTCAACAAAGTATATGGTTGATATGTGCAAAGCATCTTGGAAAATGTTCGTTGATAGTATGAGGTACTTCATCCCGAAATATTAAACTACAAATATCGGCTCAATAATGCATAATCAAAATTGTGATATTCTTGAACACAAAAAAATCTCGAAAATATGTTTAATTAATCCAAAACTTTGAATTCACTAAACAGTTTTGTTGTAACAGCTAATTAAAATATTGGTTGTATTATGTGAATAAAAATTTATTCTCCAGAGATTTATAACCTATAGTATTATTTGTTGTACAATATTTATATTACGAATTGAATAAATAACGATATGAAGATTTTTCTAAGCTTTAATTTATAAAAAAATTGGATTATTTGTCATCATGAGGTAAAGCAAAATAAAATAAATTCTTATTGGTTACAGAGAAGTGATTCAATCATGAGACTCATAATAACAATCTAATTTTTTGATTCGATATTTTATGTAACAATTTTTCTCCTTGTATTTCTGTAATATCAATTCTTTTTAAAATAATTATGACACTACAAATCCATAAAAATTAAAATTCCATATACCAACTATTACATTTTGTAGTCATTTTTTACTCGTTTAAAGGTGTGTTAAATCCTATAATTTTTTTATAAAAATTTAATATTAATCACACTTTATCTCAGTATTTTTAACACATAAGTAAAAACTGATAAATAGTAACAGTAAACTCATTAATTATCAGTGCCAAGTCTACCACTAATTAAATTACATCAACAATTGTATTGACACTGATAATCAGTAAATAGTTGTAATTTTTTCCTCATTTATTTTAGGACAATTAAAAATCCTTTATTAAACTATTGAGTTGTTTATGCAACAGTATCCTGCAGTTATTCATAGTCTGGTGTGCATGCTATATACAGTCAAATAATGGCCAAAGGCAAATAGTGATCGTACGATAAACTCTTTAGATACAAATAGAAAAGTAAAAGAATCTACTTGTTACAGCAACTTGTTTGCTACGTCTCTCTCGATTCTTCTTGTATCATCATGCCATTAAAAGCTAGATGACTCGCAACCTTTTACAACTTACTTGCGAAACCATGCTTGGATTCTACACGTTTATCAACTCAAAAAAAGGGAATAGGAAAAATTGTTGACTGGCGCACCCTGACACACAAAGAATTTGTTGGCTTGTAATGTGGTGGTTATCGTGACTCTCAAGGTTTGTATCAACACTTATGATAATATTGTACTATTAATATGTATCAAAATTACTCATATGGTTTGTAAACAATGCGGAAGAACATAACGTGATAGATATAAAATTTTTATCATTTTTAAATTTTTCAAAGATTATTCAAAAACATTTTGAGAATATTTTTTCATTTATATTTGATTTAAAAAACTGAACAAAAGTTTTTCGTAAGTCTGCATTTGATCCATTGTTAATAAGTATAATAAATTTCAAACTGTATAATTGATATTTGAGTTTGATATCAATATTTTTAACATAATTTCTAAGTACCACTAAAGGTAAATAAATCACTATTTTTATAAATTAACTTGGAGTAAAAATGAATAATATGTTGTTGAAAACATTGCTACGATAAAAAATTTGGATAAATTCGTATTAATTATTTTATTGTTTCAACAGCTTTATAGAGATTTTCCCAGATTGATTTTAATTAAAAGTAAAATAAATAATATTGATCTATTATTCAGATTACAAAGTGAGTTGTTTTCATCGATTTCCATTGTATAGAGCATTATTAAACCATTATATTAGCTTTCAATGGATTATAAAAGATCTAATTAATTACAAACTTCAAAAGAAATCCAATGTATGGAGAATTTGTTTTTATGGTTGCTAGGTGGGTTTAAGTAGATTGACGAATATGATTTATTTCTGTTAAAAAATATCAATTCCAAATAATCAAAAATGCATTAAAAATCCGCAATCTCCAAATAAAAAATAACTGTTTATGCTTTATTGATTGAATTGCTTATTTATTACAAAATAAAAGACTTCTGTGAAGTTGATTACATGATTGTGGTTTTTTTTCTCCAATGGAAATTCTGTCATGAGCATAAATAATGAAAGTTTCTAAGAAAAATATTGAAAAATAGCTAACGCCGAGTGCAGTCTCAAGAAATATATGGCAAAAGAAAATGAGCATGAAAAGAAGGACGAATTGTTTGAATAATTTTTTTTGTTTTCCTCAAAGATTTACAGTATGCAGTCATATTTCTGCACTCATTTTTCACTTGAAAAATCACACTCTAAGCAGTGAAGGTGCGGTGAAAGATGACAATAGTCTCTCGGCAGAGTCACGAACTGCATAAACGACCATGTGTCGTGGTCTACGTTCAGCTCAGGTGAAATACGATGCAAGCTAAGCTTTCCAGGAAGACCAGAGGGACTTATGCTTACTAGTATACTGGTATATCCTCCTCTGCAATTCACTTGATTTTACATTTTATTTTTTTTTTATTCTATCCCTTTTTTTTGCTTACAAGAAAAGAACGCTTTTACCAAGACGATAAACCTTATTTACTTTTCATTAATTTCACTGCTCTCAGAATGAAGACAAATTAAACAATGAAATACGATTATAGCTTCCAGCTAAAATTAAATATTTCAAAAAAGGAAATAATACTTGAGGACAAGAAGAAAAATATTGGAAAAAAATATGGATAGATAACAGAAATCTCAAATATGTTGAACTAAATCAATACTAAAAAATTTTACATCAATAATAACTCATTTGAGGTAATGATATCAATGCTTGAAAATTTTTAATTGAAGTGCAGTAATAATTAAATGAAAGAAATATATTAGAGTCTAGAGCATTTTTATCTAATAAATTAATATATTTTCAGTCTTCCCATCAAGTTAACTGAGTCATAATTATAAGAAGTTAAATAAGCCATGTTTCACTCAACTTCAAGTTATAAAAATTGAATATTATTTACTTTTACAGATGTTCCAGTTTGCCTAGTATAATTTACAGTAATAACTAAAACATAAATGGTATAGTCATTGCAAATATTGTTTAACAACTTGATGTAATAATAATAAAAAATATATATCAAATTAATTTAAAGTTAAAATTAGTTTAGGCATGGTTTAAGTGTTTCATGATAGTAACTGTTCAAAATGTCCCAGTTAATTTTATTTTCTGGCTCACTTAAACTGTCAAGAGTGCTAACTGGTCTAGTTTGAATTTTTTTATTTATGAAAATTCCATCTAAAAATGATAAAAAAAAGAATTTTTCTTAAAAATACCTGATGTACTTTACAAGTGATAATAGCATTACTTTAGTTATATTCCGCCTTGTCACCAACTCTAAACCAAACTTAGAGATATTGTATTTAATCCTTTTCCTTCCTCATATGTATACTAATACTTGATTGTAATAAATATTAAAGAAGCTGACTTTTACCCCATGGGGTTATATTAATCAAGTGATATAACTGTGAAGTAAAACAGATTGATTGAATGTTGAAAACTTAAAGGTACTCTAGTTAGAAGTAAATAATGAATTAGAGGCCAAGTTAGAAGTTTTGGTATTTAACTTCATTTACACTCCTGAGAGTCACATGAAAGTAATACCTGCAGTGCCGACAAGTCGACAATATACGACCTTGCGGACATGCAACGACCGTCAAGCAGGCTCAGTGAAATACGTCTTATCCAAGGAAAAGCCCTGGATATGCAGTTGAGATGCATCAAAGCGAATATCCTTGAGAAGCTTTCGATGATCCTCGAGGTCAGATAGCATATCCTCGGCTATGGAACCCGTGAAAAAGATGAAATAGACAAAGAAGAATAACATGAGTAGAAGAGAAGAATACTAACATTAAGAACGAGATAAAAGAGAGACCGGAGCAATGAGAGGTGTGTACATGTGGTTAGAGAATAGAAAACGTGGTGCCGGTCTGTGCACGATACCAAGGCCCTCACAGGTGGGTGAATTACGGCGAGTGGTAAATTCTCCCTTTCCCTCTCACCCCATTTTAGCTTCCTAACTCTATAGACTTCTTGTAGGGTAGGCTAGAACTTAAGCGTGCCGCGGAGGCAATTCGGTATCTTTTACCGCAATGCAGAACATTGAATTTCACCTACTCGGCACGAGGCTTCGTTTCAACCAGACAGATAGAGTAGTGAAAGAAGATAAAATAATGTTTACGGCATGTTTGAGGTAGGTTCGGATCCAAGGTCCTCTTCGTCTTCTTCCTCATCTTCATTCTGCCACGTTATTTTCAGGCGAAAGCTATTTTTTCGTGGGAATGAATTTATTGCTAGGCTACTTATTCTGCTCTTTCTATTTGAAATATTCGCAATGAATTGTAAGCGAATTAATTATGTCACTAGAATTTTTTTTCCTTCACTCTTTTTCTCTCTTTATTTCACTTTCTTCATCTCTCTTCTACTTTCTATGGTTTATTTACGATGAAACTTTAATGAAAGAAGTTGATACCAAGTACGTATTTATGTAGATTAATGAATCTTTTATTTTAGTTTTAAAAGTAAATAAGACTATTACGAAGGTTTTACGGAAAATTATTAATATATACGAGTATTTAAATATCGTTTTCAGGACAAGAATATAAATAAAAATACTTTAAGTGAAAATAATATTTTGATTTTTTTTATGAGTCTTCTTAAACCCGAGTTTTTATATCACAGACACTTGTATAATAGGGTTTTTAATGGAAATGATAAGTTGAATTTAAAATAAAGTACGAAAAAAAAAAATAAAATTGTTTTGTTCCTAATTAGCCGGATATTTTCAATAAAATTACATCCTCAATTTTATAAACAATTTTCGTTAATTGATTTTAAATAAAAATGCATTTTAATTATGTAAATAGTACTAATAAATAATTAATGCATTTTTATAAGATATATTTGTTAAATTATTTTACTTTTGATAAATAATTTAATTAATCAAATTCAAAATTAGTTGATCTAAAAAAGCTTTTAACCAAAATTTATTTTAAAAATATTGACAAAAGAATATTATAAATGACTAAGAATTAGCAACTGGATCCAATAAAATAAATAACGCATATTAAATAAGATAAAAGAGAATGTAATATTTCACTTTTAATGATTCATAAAAAATAAAAACATCTGATTAATAGACTGAAATTTCTTATCGTGATTTGAATTTATAAAGCAAATGCAAGTGAAATGGGAAAGGGCTATTGCCAGGATCCAGATAGAATTTAATACAAGACGTTAAAAGTAAAACACATTAGCGAAATGA